AACAACAACAACAACAACAACAACAACAACAACAACAACAACAACAACAACAAGATGAAGAACTAGAAGTCCAAGGTCAACGACAATTCTAAGAATGAGTTCAACAAAAAAAGAAACCAGACGCAGCTTTGTTTTAAAAAAACGAAGAAAAAAACAACCCCCCCCTACCCAAATTTAAAAAAAACCCAAACAAAACCACAGAGCTTCCCATACCAAACACACACACGCGCACAATACATGTATGTATACACGCAATACAGTTTCTATCTTGACAGCAGACCGGTCCTTCTCACAGAGCGTTTCCAAGCGCAATGTTTGAGCGTTAATTAGAAAACGTGAAGTTGGCAGGTCGGTTACGTCAGGCCCTAGTACACGCACGTTCTTTTATACTTTCGGAGCGCCTAGGTCAGGCCCTAGCCTTTGTTAGGATTGTGAAAAACTCGTCCAAGTGGAGACCAGAGAAGTAATGTCTTCCCTCCCGCACCCTTCCCTCCCCATGAAAAACGTCTAGAAACAAGAGTTGAAAACTTTGAGGGCCTAAATATTTCGGGACATTTAATTAAGTTTGAAGTGCAGGTAAGAGGCGCTTTTTTTGTGGGGGGGGGGGGTCATCAGTTATTCTCTCTCTCTCTCTCTCTAGTTCTGCGCTCGCAGAAAGTTTTTAAAAAATGGGAGAGAGAGAGAGAGAGAGAGATCAGGGAAACGTAGCTTTTTTTAGAGCATCCGAGCAAAGGAAGGAATCGGGAACCATGATTGCCGAAGTCTGTCGCAGATTTTTTTCTTTTTTAAATTTAGGCAACTGGAATATCAAAATGATTCATACTCTCTCTCTCTCTCTCTTTCTCTCTCGCTCTCTCGTATCCCTCTCTCTCTTGCTCTCTCGTATCTCTCTCTCTCTTGCTCTGTCTTATCTCTCTCTCTCCCTCTCTCTATTATTCTCTCTTATATCTCTCTCCCCCCTCTCTCTCTCCCTCTCTCTCTCCCTCTCTCTCTCCTCTCTCTCTATCTCTCGCAAAAACTCGTCTGACTTTCGGGCTGCCAACAGCAGCAGCAGTAACAGTAACACATTTCCCTGCTTTCCACAGTCCACTGTCATAAGTCAAAAAATCTGGGGATTTAATCCGCTACATACCAAAGAAGTGAAAAAGAAAGAGCTCGCACATTTTGTTTCATCCTATTTGTTATGTCGCTGATTCTTACACAGTCTTTTCAATGAAAATGCCAGCTACCACAAACATTAAAGTGGAAGCCAAGCCTTCCGCTGAGATAGGTGATGCCGCCAAACAGTGTTTAAATTGTTTGGAAAAGAAAGTCAGAAACTTAGAGAAGAGAAAGGTAAGTGAACATTTCCGAGACAAAGGTTACTTCGATCGCTAAATTTTTCCTTATTCTCTGTCTGAAAAGAGTCGTGGGGCAACGGACAAACGCTGTTCTCTTTACAAGTTCTTTGTTTGGCGGCTTTCTACTGTTGTTTTTTAAAAATAAAATGAATAAATTGTTATACAGTATGTGCTTTGATTGAAAGACTTACGGAGTCGTTTTATTAATTGTGAACTGAATTTGAAAGAAATGTCCACGGCCCAGCAGGCCATCTTTGCCGGGCCAAGCCAAAATTCAAGATGGCTGTCCTTTCTTCTAAAACCGAAACTGACCACAACCAAATCAAGGATTTCGAAGTGCCACTCAATTTCCAAGAATCTAAGGGGAACGAACAGATTCAAAACCTTTTCTTGGATAGGTGTGGATAGTTATTTATAGTCCAGCTGCATTGAAAGTGACCCTGGCATCTCTTGTAATCACTTTAGCAAAGTTAGTGTTAGTCTGCTAGATTCTACTTGGTTAGTTGTAGTGTTGTAGAGCAGTTGGCAGTGAATTCAGTGATATAAAATATAAGGTAATTATTATGGATCTTTCAACTTTCTATGGTTGGCATTGGCTAGACTTACTTGACAGTCAAATGAGAGTTGAGTCAGTTTAGTTTTGCTTTCTAATTTCGTTAACTTGTAAAGAAGAGTCTTGTCTGAACAATGGACATTTTTTATTAGAACTCCCCACCCTCTGGCAATTAGCCGATCTAGATCTGTAGGCTTTGGCATTTTTAGATGTGCCACAAATTTGTGAGCAAAACTGAGGGCTGGATTGTACTTTACCGGACCACCCGTCTCGGCCCGTGATTACTACGCACGCCTAGCCTAACTACGCACTCATAGTACTCTGCGTGCGGACAAAAGGTAGTTCCGCGGGCGACTTCGCGCACGCACAGCGAAGTCAGCGGCGACTGGCGAGGCGAGGTGAGCGAGAGGTGGTGGTGGTTGAAAGTGGGCAGGGGATTTAACTTTGGTGGACCACCGTGTATCATACCAGCAGTGGGGTGGGGGGGTTCAGGGGGGCTTGCCCCCCTGGAAACTATAATAAAGAAAACCCACAAAAATGCGAAACAATAACATGAGCGGACAGTCGTGTTTACATATCAATGGGGGGGTTTCAGGGGGGCTAGCCCCCCTGGCAACAATAATTTAAAGACACTCACACACACACATATAAACAATAGCATGATAAGTCGCGAGCAGGGCCAATGGGGTTGCAATTATGCAAATGAGCTCTCGTGCCCATCTCTAGCCCTCCATTGTATTTTGCCGGACCAGGAGTAGGCCTAGGGCCTAGGCCTAGGCCAAGCCAGCAGAGTCGCGAGCAAATAAGAATAGTGGACCACGTGATTAGATTGACCAATTAGCCTCAAGGTGTCAGGGTCATGGGTCAAAGGGCACAGTGGCACGGTCGTGATGACTGAAAAACCCGGTAAGAGACGGCAGTCGATTGCTGGCAGTTGAAGAGTGAGGACGTAGAAAACTGAGTAGGAGAGTGAGTAGGGGAGCTCGGAAACGAAGAACAGCGGGCCACTAGGCACCAGGGGCGCCACAGCGAAAGTAGTTCCGACCGGTGGTCCGGTAAAGTACAATCTTACCAAACTGAGTGTACCTTTTCTTTTTTTCACTCAATTTGAGGCACCTTTAGATCAGAAGTGTAACAGACACATGAGTGAACATTGAAAGAATCTCAGAAGAAAAGATTGAGGGTTTTATGTCAAGAACTGGTTGTCCCAATCACACCATGAGTATCATTTCGTCACACGGTCATTTTGTTGCACCGGTGCAGTCATGATGTGACAGTTATCTCGTCACACCCCAAATCCACAAGGTTGAATGGAGACAGTCATTTCATCTTGCACTTTCAAACATCAGACTCGCACTGTCACATAATGGCAAAGCAGATATAAACAAAAACATTTTTTTTGGAAGGGGGGTTTGCGAGCTACACGGTTCATGACTGGGTGAGTTTTGTTGAGTTGTTATCTATTGGTGAAAGGGGGAGGAAGCAGTTATAGGCTTAAATTATACTTAAAAGCAGGAGGGTACGGCCCAACGATTACGTGCTTGAATTGGTGATTTCAAATGAAGACTGCTGGCGCTGATCCTCCAAAACTCAGCAAGCGTAACAGTTCTGGAGAGATTTGCAAAGTCATTTCGTCACACACAATTGGTGTGTGATGAGATGACCGTGTGATGAAATGACCGGTTTTCCACACCACAGTACAGTGCATAGCTACATGGGAGTACATGGGCTGCCCTAGCCGTGCTGTCTTGCATGGGGATCGTTTGGTGGCGGTGAAGAAAATGGAGTTACAGGACGAGAAAGTTTTATTCCATGACATTCATATATATATAATGTCAGAAGTAAATGAAAACACCCCTGCTTTTTTTTGTGTTACCTTTTAGTCTCTAGTTTGATGCATGAATGACAAAGGATTATAAACCTGACTTGGCCTTCGATTTAAATGTGAGTCTCTGCCTTTTTTATGTGGAATTTGTGCCAAAATCCAAATGGCTGATTTTTCTCGTTTTTCTTTTCCCTGCAGGGACGAATTGAACAGAACCAGGAAAAAGCCTCCAAGGGATCAAAGCTTGAGAAAGAGCAGGAGGTAAGTGTAAGCACTAGAAAAAGATTATTTTTGGGACTTCAATTATGTTTGTAGGATTGAGGCCTGAAATGCTGTTTATTATAATATTATTATTTTCTGTTCCAATTTGAAAATTATTTTGTTTGCAAACGTTTTTCCACATTCAGCTAAGACTTTATTTTTGCTTCCTCATTTTGAAAAACAATGACAGAATTAAAATTAGATAATATTCTCGTTTAATTAGCCGTGTTTTGTATTAAGGTATTATAAGCAGTTACACTAAATTGTTTTACAGTTTATGTGAAAGTCATTTTTTGGGGGGTTTTATTTTAGTTTTTCCTTTGAATATTTTGCATGTACATGTTTGTTCAATGTGCTGATGTTGTGCCTCTTCAGATATCTCTTCATCAGTATGAACAAGTCACGCACGACTTGGAGTTCGCCAAGGAACTGCACAAGCAGTTTCTCTGCATACATCAAGAGGTAAAGGAAAACCTTCCGACTTCTGCCCCTGTCCTTGTTGTAGCACCTTTGTGTGTGTGTGTTTTGTCTTCCTCCCTGGCTACACACATAGTCTGTGGGTGGTTGGTGGGCACTCTACTGTGGTTTGTTCATTCTTTTCTATCTAATATTTATATATCGTCCTTATCTCTCCTCCTTTTTTGTGTATGTTACTCTCTTGTATCACATGATCTATTCTTCAGCACTCATGACCTTATTGTGTTGCAAGTGTCGTAAAACTAAAAACATGTAGTCCTCCCTTCATTTTCGAGGTGAGTTGTTAGAAGTAGGTTTTATAAACTTCTGCATCTGGATGGCTAAATAGCACATTTTTTTTCATATGTTGCTATCTAGTAACACCCCTAGTCTTCGGCACTTATATGACGTAATGGTGTTGCAAGTGCCATAAAATTTGTACCAAAACTAGAACTAAACTTCCAAGTTTTTCTTTCTGATTACAGTATCTAATCAGGACCAGTGGGTGGTTGGGGGGTGCTCTGGTGTGGTTTGCTCCTTTCCTATCAAACATCTATCGTCCTTTTCTCTCCTCCTCCTTTTTTTGTGTATGTTACTCTCTTGTAACACCTCTAATCTTCGGCACTTAGATGACCTTATTATGTTGCAAGTGCCGTAAAACACTTACTAACATTAAACTAATCAGGACCAGAGGGTGGTTGAGGGGTGCTCTAGTGTAGTTTGCTCCTTCTTTCCTATCAAACATCTATCGTCCTCATCTCTCCTCCTTCTTTTTTATGTTTGTTACTCTCTTGTAACACCTCTAATCTTCAGCAATTATATGACCTTATTGTGTTGCAAATTCGGTACAACTCTTACTAAAAAAAAATATTTAAAAAATAATCGTGACCTCCGATCTTTTTCTTGCCCAGCATGAGAAAATGGTGAAAAAGCAGGCCAAGCGGGAGAAGGCGGAGCGGCAGGCGGTGGAGATCAAGCGGGTCAGCGAGATCCTACAGCTGCAGTGCACGCTAGACCTCATGGGCGGGATGAAGGTGCGGGAGGACTTCAAGACGGGCAAACACGGAGCAGTGGTGAGTGCACGGGGCTGGGTGGACGGGGAGGAGAGCCCATGGTCTGTGTACTGATTTCCTTTCCCCTGTTCTCCTGTAGCTGGAAACCAAATTTGAGTAGTAGGTCTGCCTTGAGGATAGGAAGGATGAGACGGATGGGTAGGCTCGATGAATTTTTTGTTTATGATATTTGTGAAGCACGCTCGCAAAATGGGTTACTGGGGGCTCTCGTGGCCTAGAGATTGAGGTGCTCACCTCTCATTCAAAGGTCCCATGTTCGAATCTAAGTATTCTTAAATGTGAAGAATGCAACCCCCGGGGGGTTACAAAATGACCCCATTAGGGCGTACGGATAGGGTTGAACTACCCATACCATTTCACCATTTTCACCCGCAGGTGTTAACGGACGACAATCTGGACCAGCTAGACAAACTCTACCAAGCCATCTCCCCGTCGCGAGACGACAGCGGCGACGACTACCCCCAGCGTCTAACGGCGGCGGCTGAGCACATGGTGAACATTCTGGACGGCAAGGACCGCCAAGTTTTGGGAACAACCTACAAAGAGCTGAAGGAGCTGCTCACCCTGATCAACGAGTGCGGCTACTTCGAGAAGGCCAATCCGGCAGTGCCAGAGGAAGGTTGGTGGACTTTGAAATTATATTTGAAAAAGTAATTCTTATGTCTTATTTGGTGGCTTTTAACGCTTTGCTGTCTCTTGGCGCCTTTCCCAAAGAGGGGGACAGAAACATCTCGAGTTCTTATGCACAAGAGAATTGGAATTGTAAATGGGCTGTTTCATCAATGTGATGCTCATAATTGTGCCTGAACTGCAGCAGGGAACTGCTGCTTTTTCTTTCCTGATCCTTACTATTGTAATTTTTTTCCTCTACTGCTTTTGTATGTTTGTCACACTCTTGTGACCTGCTAATTCCGGGGTGCCTTGATAGTTGAAGCAGACTTTGTGCTGTTGGAGCTAGAGAGGTGAGCAGAGTAAGTCTGATTCCCTGTAAGGACTTTTCTGTTGACATCCACCCCTTGGCGCTCGTATGACCTTGTACAGTTGCGAGCGCCGTAAAACCTCTACTAAAATTAAAAACTATCTCTCCTCCTTTTGTGTTTGTTACTGTCTTGTAACACTTCTAATCTTCGACACTTATGACCTTATTGTGTTGCATGCGCTGTATAACTTACTAAAACTAAAGGAATTTGCAATTCTTATTAGTCGTTAAGATGTGGCATTTGCAAGTGTTGCTGCTGTAGATGAAGATATTGTAGCACAGAGGGTACCATCAGCTTGAACTAATGTTCTTTTTTCTTTTTCTGTTCCTCTGTCAGTCATTGCGGAGAGCACAGAGGAAGTGGAGGAAGAGGAAGCGGCTGTGGAGGTGGAAGAGACGTCCGGAGAGACGGGCGCGGCTTCCCCGTGTGAGGCGGCCGAGAGCGTGCCCGAGCCCCAACAACAGCCGATTGACTTGACGGTGGGACCCACAGACGGAGCACAATCTCAAATGGAAATGCCCCAGCAGGTACTCGTCGTTGTACTGTTTAACGTGGCGCGTTGATCTGACTCTCACGCCGTTTGTGTCGCGATATGGTGGGGTGGGGTGGGATCGGGCTCCTCCGTAAATTTTTCAGTGTGGGTGGTTGGTGGGTGCGATACGGTGTGGTTTGCCCCTTCTTTCCTATCAAAGATCTATCGTCCTTATCTCCCCTTCTTCTTTTTTGTGTTTGTTACTCTCTTGTAACACCTAATCTTCGGCACTTATATGATCTTATTGTGTTGCGAGTGCTGTAAAACTCTCACTAAAACACATTTTTCAGGCTTGCCAACTGTCCAGAATTTCCCAGGATTTGGCAGTTAGAAATTTTTAAAGAGCCTATTATCATATATACACTTAATCAAAGTCCGTCCCACTTGATGTAATTTTGTACCTTGATATATCGCAACCTCAGCACTTTCTTGTCCAATGTCCATTTTTAATAACAGTGAAAACAGGTCATAACAAAGAGTGAGCTTGAGAAGAAGTCACAGTTTCACTGTTGTAAAAATATGGAGGTACGTTATGAAAGCACTGGGGTCATGATATGAAACCTGAAGTTATAACATAGCATACTCCATATGACCTTATGCAGTTGCGAGTGCCGTAAAACCCTCTACTATAATTTTTTTTAAAATATATATATAGCATACTCCTGACTGGGTTTTGCGAAAGTTGACACGCCTGATTTTTTATTGAGTTGTTGGTATTATATTTTAAGCTTATTCATTTCTCTTGCTCTTGATGAAAATTAAATACCTATCTGTCTTGAAGAGAAGTCGAGGTAATTGCGATTGAATGAGGTGAGGTGTTGCTTGGTGTTAGAGGTAAAAATTAGAGTAAAAATGGCTGCTTAACCCTATCCGTACGTCGTGTATTACTGTCGTATCCATACGACATGGGGAACTCTGTGCCACCACTTATCCCTATCCGTACGTCGTGTTTTACTATCATATCCGTACGACGTTGGGAACTCTGTGCCACCTCTTTCGAAAGAGGAAATTTACTCGTTAATCCGATCCGTACGCTTTGCATAGCAATCTGTCAGAATGATTTTTTGAGAAATACTGAAAGTTTCAATGAGATCTTCGCACTAGAAGTATTCTAAAATGTGAAGCATACAACCCCGGGGGTATTAAATGACCCCAGGGTTTACGAATAGGGTTTAGTGATTTGCAAAAGTTTCAAAATATCAAGTGATACCCCAACAGTCGGCTAGACTGGGGGACGGGTGAAGGTGAGCCTTTTGTACATAATATATATTTACGTATACGTTCACATTTACTCTCTATGTGTCGCGACGTGGTGGAATCAGGTGCTCGTCAATTTTTGGGCATATGGGGTTATTGGTGTCATCTAAAAGCCTGCTCATTTGTCTTGCTTTTGGTGAAAAACATATCCATCTATGTTGAATAGAAGTTGAAATATTTATGATTGAAGGAGGTCAGGGTCGCCTGGTTTCAGAGGTGAAATTAGTGAGAAAATGGCTGTCAAAGTTGGATCATTTCCATAGCTTGAGAGTCCTTGGAAACTGAAAATTGACATTTTTTTGTGCCTTTAATCAATGTTTTCAAGCAACATCTCGCTGCGCACCAAGATTCGACTCTTTAACTCCAACGTCAAGTCTGTGCTCCTCTACAGCTGCGAAACTTGGAAGACAACGAAAACAGTACTGAATGAAGTCCAGACTTTCATCAACAGATGTATGAGGAGTATTTTAAGAATTAAGTGGCAGGATAGAATAAGAAATGAAGAACTGTGGGAAAGGACAGGACAAAAGGATATAGAAGTAGAAATAGGACTAAGAAAGTGGCGATGGATGGGACACACCTTAAGAAAGCCCAGCGGAAATATCACAAGACAGTCACTGCAGTGGAACCCACAGGGAGCACGAGGCAGGGGTAGGCCACGGGAAACATGGAGGAGATGTGTGGAAAGGGACATGAGAGAAATGAAGCTCACTTGGAACGAGCTTGGAAGGATGGCTCAGGACAGAGATAAATGGAAGGAGCTTGTATGTGGCCTATACCCTGCCAGGGGTGAAAGGCATTGATGATGATGATGAATCGATGTTTTCAGTAAAATCCACAGAGAAATGTTTTTAAACGGATATAAAAGGTGTTGAGCCAAAAAAAGAAAATTTGAAAGAAATTGCCCAACGGTCAGAAAAATGTCAATTGCTTTGATGTCACTATTTTGACGAGCGCCTGATTTCACTATTTTGACGAGCGCCTGATTTCACTATTTTGACGAGCGCCTGATTTCACTATTTTGACGAGCACCTGATTTCACTGTTGTGACGAGCGCCTGATTTCACTATTTTGACGAGCGCCTGATTTCACTGTTTTGACGAGCGCCTGATTTCACTATTTTGACGAGCGCCTGATTTCACTATTTTGACGAGCGCCTGATTTCACTGTTTTGACGAGCGCCTGATTTCACTGTTTTGACGAGCACCTAATTTCTCCACGATGCCTCACATGTCTGTAATGCGCATTTTCTCATTTCAGCCAATGAACACAATGGAGCAGGATGCATTTTTCGCACCCAGTAGCACGACAGCCTACCAAGAGGACTCAGAAGCCCGATACTCCCCGGTCTACAGAACGGCCCAGCAGGCACCCGACTTCGAATCTTTCACCAACAACCGCCCGTTCCAGTTTATCCAGACCTCCTACGTTATGTCAGAGTCACAAGGTAACCTCTCTCTCTCTCTCCCTCCCTCCCTCTTTCTCTCTCTCCTTCCTCCCCCCCCCCCCCTGGAGTATAGGCCATCAACATTTCTCGAGCGAAGCCTGTCCTGTGCATCCTTTTCTAGCTGTTTCCTTGATGTCCTCTCCTTTTCCATTTCTGCATGTACTGCTCGCCTCCATGTCATCTTTGGTCTTCCTTTCTTTTGTTTTCCTTATGGATTCCGCGTCCAAGCCTGTCTGATGATGCTTGTCGGGGGTCTCCTCAGGGTGTGCCCAATCCTTTTCCATTTCTTCTCCTGTATGTTTTCCTTTACCGGCCTTTGGCTTGTTCTTTCTCTCAGTTTGTGACTACAAGGTAAACCTATTCGTTAGTTAAGTTTAGTACCAGTTTTACGGTGCTCGCAACTGCATAATGTTATATCGTCCCTCTAAACACGTACTAGCGTAAGCCACATCTGACCCGAAATCGAGTTATGGCAATCACGCGATTCCCTTTATCCGATACTACATCCTCTCAAAAGATGGTAGGAATCGAGCAATAAATAGCTGAGATATAGTCGATTCCAGTTTGAACGTATCTCACTTGCCCACAAAAAGATACAGCACGTACTAACACACTGTTGGTTACGTTAGTGCGTGACGCACACTTTGACCCATTGTCATGTTTTTATTATACGGCACATACTAACGTAAGCCACACAGCCGGGGCTGAGCCTATGGCAAAAAAACCATCGCATAGCGCTTCTAGAGAGCGGGAAGACAAGCTAAACTACACACGTGGGCTTTGTGTGAGGCAGTCAATGCTCGGGATTCCACTCCTGTGACTACGACTCAGATGGCGATCAGGAATTCAATCCTGGAACATGCGAGGTCAGAAGGTGCAATGCTGAAGTATGGGTGGTTTGTCCTGATTGTGAAATCCTTCTTTGCTTTATCATTTCAAGAGATTGCATCCTGTGTTCTGCATGGAAAAAGCACAAGAGAGTTAAAAGAAAAAAATCAATGTGCAGAAGCTGTAGGTAGACCCTCAAAGTATAAGATTCCCGCTGGTGTGAATGAGAACACTGATGCTCCCGATCAGTTTAGGCAAAGGAAACGGTCATTGATGAGGGGGGTAGAAGAATGCAAAGATCAGTTCCCGAGCAATACACAGTGGGGGGAAGTGAGGAAGAAGTTAGAAAGGAAAAGAAACTCTGAGTACTCCGATCAAACAAACAGAAGGACGTCAAAATGAAGAGGAATTTGGGACAAGAGTACACAAGCATGGAGACAAAAAAGACTGTGCCCGCCAAACACACAAAAGCAAGATGTAAAGGAGACTTGTGTGCAAAGCAGAAGAAACAATGCTCAACAATTACTGACGAGCAGAAGGAGGCCGTTTTTATTCGTATCACTCCCTTGGAGATCTAAGAATGAAACGGGAGTTTCTTGTGAGGCATGTCTAAAACAAAGAGGAAATACACTGAAGGCGAATCACGAAGAAGTAATACCAGACAGTACATGCTTACAGTTGGGGAGAGTTTTGTTCCAGTCTGCAAATTGTTTTTCTTTAACACTTTGGGCATTTCAGAACAGAGTGCCAGAATGGCATTGAACAAAGTTACTTCCACTGGTATAGCTGAGAAGGACAAACGAAGTGGGAGACAGTCTGAGGCAGAAAGAGAAAGAGATGCATTTGTTCGCAAAGCAACATCTGATCACTTGGACAGATTTCCTAAAGTCGAATCTCATTACTGTAGAGAAAAATCAACAAGAGAACTCAGCAAATGGAACATGTACCACATGTTCATCCAGGAATAGTTACCCAGGACAAGGCCACCAAGCTTCACAACATTCAACCATGTATTCAAAAGTAATAATCTCTCAATCCATCGGCCCAGGAAAGACCAGTGCTCTCTTTGTGTCAATTATCACCAGGGAAATGAAGAAACAAAGACAGGTCTTGGGGAAAAGTTTGAGATCCATGTGGGAGCAAAAGAAAAGGTCAGGGAAATAAAGGATCTATGCAAGAAAGAAGCTCAGGAAAGTGAAAACGTTCTCTGAGCAAGTTTTGATTCGCAGCAGGTCATTTCCCTCCCTATGTCTGAGGAGAGCACCATCTTTTACAAAAGGAGGTTGTCGAACTACAACCTGACTTTCTACAACATTGCTAACAGAGACTGTCACACTGCTTCACTTGGGATGAAATACAAAGCAAACGTGTATCCTGGGAAATTTCAACTACAGTCCACCGTGCTCTGAAATTTTATGACGACTGTGGCATGAAAAAAGTTTTTCTTTTTGCACATGGATGCAGTGGTCAGAACAAAAATTCGATTACGCCTTCGATGATGTTGTATACAGTGAACAATAGTGGGAATCTTGAAGAGATTTCATTGAGGTTCTTTGAAACAAACCATGGTCAGAACGAGGTTGATTCTGCACACGGTGCAATAGGGCATGCCCTGAAGAGGGCTGGGGATTTGTTCCTTCCTTCTCAGGTAGCAACAGTGATGTCTCTCGCTTGACCTCAAAAGCCTTACCTGGTGAATCAGATGCAGTCTAAAGACTTTCTGGATTTCAAAGGACTTGAGAATCCTGGACGCACGAAGAGGATCCGATACGGAAGACACATTTTTGTGGAACAATACCATGGAACTGCGAGTCACTAAAGCACAGCCATATAAAGTCTTCTACAAGACGAGCCACTTTGACAGTTCTTTCAAAACCCTGTCCCTCAAGAGACTAAAGAATAGTGTGAAGAGCTGTGCACTTCAGACACTGAACACAGGACCAACAAACATTTCGAGAGAAAAATTTACTGATTTGGTTTCACTCTGTTCTGGTCCCACACCAGTAATTAAACTGGAAGAGCACAAAGCATTTGATCTTTCCTTGCCCCATGAGTAGTTGGCTGTGAAGGTCTCCTTTGGGGCGAAGCTATTCTACTTTGTTCGCTAGTGTGTAACTCCAGCTTAAGTATATGGCAGGCAAGTTATGACACAAAATGTATTTAATTTCACATTTTCTACTCTATTTCTGTGTTACTGCTTAAAAGTCTTTGAAATATGTCATTGAATTTACATCTCTACAGCAAGATCATGTTCCCAATAAACCTAAGTGGGGTTCTAGTAGAAAAGTTCCCTGGAATCTAGAATCTATATTATATTATTTGTTTTTTTACAAATTTGAAAATTTAGTGAGCACATGCTAGCACACGTTTTTGTAGTTTGTTTTGTTTTTAGTAAAGTACTGCTTCCCATATTAAACAGGATAGTGTTTCACAAAAGTGAGTAGGTACATAATAATAAAATTCTGTAAAGAATGGTCCATAATGAAACGTTCATTTGAGCAGTAGATAGCTGCAGTGATTATTTAATTTCAAGTTGATTTTTTTATCATATACAGTTGACGTCTTTATATTCCGAGTTGTTGTTAGCCTTATCATTTGTCATGAATAATACAGCCCGTGAATTTTAAACCAAATTGATCTTTCTTTGTATTTTTATTTTTATTTGGAAGTTATTATTTATGCGTAAGCCACGCAATGAACGAATTATGCTTCAGAATACAAAAGCACGTACTAACGTATCCAACAATCTAGTAACGTAAGCCACACATCGAGGCTTTCATTGACGTAGCATGTACTAGGGTATCCAACAATCTAGTAACGTAAGCCACACATTGAGGCCTTCATTGACGTAGCACGTACTAGCGTATCCGACAAAAAGGTCATTTTTCCTTCAAAACCTACTATTCTCACAAAGATGCTTCTAGCCAATTGAAAAGTAGTTGGCCCACACACGTTATGTCAAAATATTACGGACAGGATCGGATAATTGAGATCACAAAGGGATGGTGAAAATCGCCCAAATCTTTAAACGTCTCTCCTGCAAAACTAACAAAATGTGGCTTACGCTAGTACGTGTTTTGAGGGACGATATGAGCGCGTGGAACTCTAGTTGATTGCATTCACTACAATTCTTAGCACGGCTTGGTTTCGATCAGAATTTTGATAAAAATATTATTGTGTTGCAAGTGCTGTAAAACTCTTGCTAAAACTAAAAACTAACTCACTTAAAGAACCCCCAAAACAACAAATACATTTGTTCTTGGTTTGCCCCCGCAGCAACAGCGCCTTCGGTGGTGGACCCGGCGGTGATCCACGCGCAGCCTGCCGCCGGCTCGGGCCTGGCCTTCATGTCACAGAGCGGGTTTGAGCCGGCCGCTCCACCCCAGGCCGCCTCCACCCAGCCACAGCCCTTGCCTCAGCAGCCGCCAACACAAGCCATGGTAGGTTCCCACGACACACTGTCTGACACACTGTCTGACACACTGTCCACCAACACAAGTCGTGGTGGGTTCCCACGACACACTGTCTACTTCTGTCTGTCACACTGTCTGTCACACTGTCTGATACACTGTCTGACACACTGTCTGACACACTGTCTGACACACTGTCTGACACACTGTCTGACACACTGTCTGACACACTGTCTGTCACACTGTCTGACACACTGTCTGTCACACTGTCTGACACACTGTCTGTCACACTGTCTGTCACACTGTCTGACACACTGTCTGTCACACTGTCTGACACACTGTCTGTCACACTGTCTGACACACTGTCTGACACACTGTCTGTCACACTGTCTGTCACACTGTCTGACACACTGTCTGACACACTGTCTGTCACACTGTCTGACACACTGTCTGTCATACTGTCTGTCACACTGTCTGTCACACTGTCTGACACACAAGCCATGGTAGGTTCTCCCGACACACTGTCTTCCTCACAGCTATCTCTTTATATCACTGTCTATCTATCTCTGTATATATCACAGTCTGCCAGTCTACCACACTGTCTGCCACCCCCCCCCCCCCCCCTCGGGGCGGTCCCACTGACTGTAGTGTCTTTAGGCCGTTCCCAAAGGGGGGACATTTCTTGTAAATGGGCTGATTCATCATGTTACGCTCATAATTGTGCCTGATATCTACGACAGAGAACTGCTGCTTTTTCTTTCCTAATCCTTACTGTTGTCATTTTCCTCTACTTCTTTTGTATGTTTGACACACTCTTGTGACCTGCTATTTCCGGGTGCCTTGATAGTCGAAGCAGACCTTGTGCTGTTGAAGCTAGAGAGGTGAGCAGAGTAAGCCTGACTCCCTGTAAAGACTTCTCTGTTGACATCCACCCCTAGGCGCTTACATGACCTTGTGCAGTTGCGAACGCCGTAAAAACTAAAAATTTTAAAAAATTGGAGGAGAACTAGGGTTCTGTTGTGTAACAAGCTGTATCTGTTTCTGTTCCATCAAAGCTGTTAAATTTTTAGCAGAAATACTGTAGCAATTGTTTAATACAGCCACCCATTGTCCAGGAGAAAAGGGGTTGTCTTAGCCCGGTGGTCGTTTTGGACTGTGTCGCTATAATAGTGAGGGATAAAGGAGGGAAAGTAGGAAGTGGTGGAATGTACAGGTGATTTTGATTGTCGAGGACAGGTGGTCATTGAAGCAGGTTCTACCGTATGTGATCAGCACAGCTTACATGATGTGGTGTTCCCTCCTCTCCCCTCCCTCCCAGCCTAGCCCAGCAGTCAACGACTTGCCTCACAAATGTTCTGAGTGGGTGGTAGGTGGGTGCTCTGGTTTGGTTTGCTTCTTCTTTCCTATCAAACATCTATCATCTTTATGTCCCCTCCTTTTTTGTGTTTGTTACTCTCTAGTAACACTTCTAATCTCTGGCTTCTACTGGCATACGTCCTAATTGTGTTTCAAAGGCCCCAAAACTCGCTGCTAAAACTAAAGAGCAGGTTCGACTGTATTTCGCCAACTCACCTCACAAACGTCCTGGTGTGTCTCCCCCTCCCCCCCCCCCCCCCTGCCTAGCCCAGCTGTCAACAACTTGCCTCACAAATGTTCTGAGTGGGTGGTTGGCGGGTGCTCTGGTGTGGTTTGCTCCTTCTTTCCAATCAAACATCCATCGTCTTTATCTCCCCTCCTTGATTTTTGTGTTTGTTGCTCTCTAGTAACACCTCGAATCCTTCCAGCCTAGCCCAGCAGTCAACTTGCCTCACTAATGCGTTCCCTCCCTCCCCCCACCAGCCTAGCCCAGCAGTCAACAACTTGCCTCACTAATGCGTTCCCTCCCTCCCCCCACCAGCCTAGCCCAGCAGTCAACATCCTGGCGATGACGGCAGAGCTGTCCCAGGGGGAGTCACTCTCACAGCAGCCTCAGCAGCAGCAGACGACCCCCCAGCCCCCTCAGCCACAGCCACAGCCACAACAACAGTCGCAGCCCGAGTACAGCTCGCAGGGCTTCTCGCAGGTACCCCAGGTCAGCACGCCACGACACGCACACACACACGCATACGCACACTCACACACACACGCATACGCACACTCACACACACAGACACAGGCACACACACACACATACATACAAACGCACGCACACACATACATACAAACGCACACACACACACACACACATGCATGTGCATGCATGCACACACACACACAAGCACGCACACACACCTCCCCCACATAACACCGGGCGTTTTATTTCATCATATGACGGTATATCGCCGTCAAGATGTTGATTTGTTAAATGTGTCACGGCGCAGTGGAATCAGTCGCTCGTCAGTTTTCGGACATATGGAGTTATGGTATTGTCTTAAAGGTTGTTCATTTGCTTTTCTTTCGATGGAAAAAAAGTCGGTATTATCTTGAATAGAAATTGAGATATTTGCGATGGAAGGCGGTGGGGTCGTCTGGTTTCAGAGGTAAAATAAGCAAAAAAATGACTGCCAAAGTTTTGTGACTTTTATAGCTTAAGAGTCCTTGGAAACTGCAAATTTAAATTGTTTTTGTTACTCTCTTGTTGGCGGGTGCTGTGGTGTGGTATTTGCTTCTTCTTTCTTATGAAACGTCTATCGTCTTTATCTCCCCTTCTTCTTTTTTGTGTTTGTTACTCTCTTGTAACACCTCTAATCTTCGGCACTTATATGACCTTTTTGGCGGGTGCTCTGGTGTGGTTTGCTCCTTCTTTCCTGTCAAACATCCATATTCCTTATCTCCCCCTTCTTCTTTTTTATGTATGTTACTCTCTTGTGACACCTCTAATCTTCTGGTGCTCATATGACCTTATGCCGTTGGGAGCGCAGTAAAACCTCTACTAAAACTGCACTGACCTTATTGTGTTTCAAGTGCCGTAAAACTCTTACTAGAACGAACAATCTGAAAGTCACTGGGTTTGTTCTTCTCTCTGTGTTGTCGTCGTGCCAACAGCCCATGCAGCCTGAGGGTCTGTTCAACGCCCCCGCTCCCCCCAGGGCAGTGCCACTGACTGTAGTGTCTTTAGGCCAGTAGAATTGTCAATGGGCTGATTCATCGATGTCATGCTCACACTGTGCCTGAACTGCAACGGGGAACTGCTGCTTTTTCTTTCCTAATCCTTACTATCTTTATTTTTCCTCTTCTTCCTTTGTATGTTTGTCACTCTCTTGTGACCCGCTATTTTATGCGGTGCCTTGATAATTGAAGCAGATTTTGCTTTGTTGAAGCAAGAGAGGTGAGCAGAGTAAGCCTGATTCCCTGTATGGACTTCTCTATTGACATCCACCCCTTGGCGCTCATATGACCTTCTGCAGTTGCGAGCGCCGTAAAACCTCTACTAAAACAATCTCCCCTTTCTTTTTTGTGTTTGTTACTCTAATGTAACACGTGTAATCTACGGCACGTAAAACTCCGTCTGAAACTCACTGGGTATTTTCTCCTCTGTGTGTTGTTGTCGTGCGATCAGCCCATGCAGCCTGAGGGTCTGTTCAACGCCCCCGCTGGTGTGGTGGAGGAAGTGCCCAACCCCTTGGCCCCTCACCCGGGCATCATGGGACAGAGGCGAGGAGAGGACTCGTCCGCCTCGCCGTACGAGATCCCACCGTCCATTCCAATGCCTCCATCCCAGTCCCAGGTGGGTCCACTTGCCTTTTATTCCCCCCTCCCCCCCTCCCACAGTTGCGCGGCTTTCACACCACCACCGCCGCGGCTGCTACTGTTACCTACCAGGCTTGCCAACTGACCCGCGTTTTTCTCTTGGGGCTGTCCCGGGTTCAGCAGTCGGGGAAGTTATTTAGCTGCCTTTTTCACGTACACGTTGCTAAAAGCCAGTCCGGTTCCCACTTGATGTAATAATTTTGTACGTTGTTAAGCGGGCTCAGAGCCTGTGTACTTTTTGCAGGGTTGAGCGCTGTAGTAAATGTCATTTATTATTATTATTATGATGTATTCTGGTGTTATGATAACTGTGATGTCCCCGACTGGGTTGGGAAAGGGGTACAGCCAGTTGGCAAGCCTGCGGCTTTATTACAAATTGTTTAACCGTTTATTGACATTCCGTTGTTCACACTGATCTCTTTGTTTTTTACTGACTAATGTTTATTTTTTTGCCTGCTACAGACACAGTCTGTTTGATTCGATTGTTGTCGATTTTGTTAAATATTGGATTGAAAGCTACATAGTTGGCCTACTAGTAAAATGCTTTATCTCCCCTCATTGCTCAAAGGCAGCATAGGATGAAAATTTTAAAAAGAAAGAAAGAATATTTTTGTTTGCGGCAGACACGCTCTGTTTTTACTCGATAAATGTCGATTTTAAAGGGTAGTGTTTTATGGTGGTGGCTTAGATAGTCATTGCGTTGTTTAGGCGCAAATGTAAACTGCCCTATAAATTCTCAGAAGTGTTGACAAAGTCGATTGATTTTCATTTTTAGGGTATGTTGTGACTGTATAGAAATCTTAAATGGTTTCGGACAGAAAATCCCCCCTCCCCCGGACATATTGAAGTATGAAGTGCACACAGTTTTATGGCATTTATATGATCTATTTTTTTACAAGTATGTTGAAAGTGGCGTAAAACTGAATACTAAAACTGACCTATAGAGTTTTGTTAGCAAACATGTATTGATTACGGACAGTAGGCCTGGATCAGTAACTACGTGAGACTGGGGTCAGTCATCGGTTTTACGGCAGATCTTCTGTGGCAGGTTGACAAACAACGCAGACTTGATGTCCCACACTGTGTCAGCTGCAGTTTTTTGGGGGTTTAAAAAAAAATTATTTAGTAATAATTGTACAAGCTTTGAAGGGAAAAAATGATCCGCGGCAGCGTGTACTTCACTTTTTTGTTGGGACTGCCTTTATTGTGTTTCTTGGCTGAGGTCTGTGTGTGCATTGGGCTGTTTTAGTAGAGAGAAAGGTCTTTTTTTGTTTTGTTCTGTTTTGTTTTAGTGCTGCTTTTTTTTTTGGAAGGAAAAGAAAGTTATTTTTTTTTGTTTCTCGTTTGTTTTTGTCTGAGGATATGTTGTTTGCATGTGGTACTAATCTGTATTAGTTAGAGCGGCTGGTTTTTTTTTAAAAAACTCTCTCCACTCTCTCAATTACCTCTGCTGCGGTTTCTTCATCAAATTCATCAGTCGTAGCATGTGTTTTAGCTGTCCGTACGGCCCCCCGCATTAAAAAAAGCTGTGGTGTTTCTGATGGGACTATCGTCGTCTTCATCATCGTCGTCGTCGTCACCTTACTGTTGTCATCAGTTGGATGTGCCATGAGACAGCAGCACTCACACCTCGTCGTGTCGTCTGCCCAGGTTGGCTGCTCAGCTGGACAGCCCGCACCCTTGTTTGTTTTATTTATTTATTTTTTTTCGGTCATATTTTTAAGTTTTTGTTTTAAACGGTTGGTTGAAAGGGATGGAAGAAAGGTGTGAAATTTGACATGTGTGTTTTTAGAAAGGTGTGAAATTTGACATGTGTGTTTTTAGAAAGGTGTGAAATTTGACAAGTCTTTCTGAATAGTGTGTGATTTGAAATGTGCGGTTTGAGAAAGGTGTGAAATTTGACAAGTGTTTGATAATGGTGTGAAATTTGACAAGTGTTTCAGAAAGGTGTGAAATTTGACAAGTATTTTAGAGAGGTGTGAAATTGGACAAGTGTTTTTGTGTCTTAGAATGATGGTGTAACAGTGGAATTCTTTTAGTTTGTGTCTACATGTGTGTCGTACGTGAGTGTTTGAGCCTGAGTACAGGGGAACCTGCTCTCTGACAGCCACCTTTATAAGACAAACAGCTGTAGAAACGGCCACTTCCTATTTTCTTTCTCGTGGATATATGTTGTTGTTATTTTCAAATTCCTCTACTAGCTGCGAGCATTTCACTCTTGGCAGCGCAATGCCTCCCTCAAGTAACCACATGTCCTTGTCATCTGGTCAACGCCAGAGTAGAGCAGGCTTTGTGAGTGTGTGTAGAAGCTTGCATCGAAGAACTGCCAGGTTTGGGACCTACCGGAGCTGTATCATTAGATTGCGGGTTCAGGGGTTCGGGCCTCAGTCTGTCCGACGTTGTGTCCTTGGGAAAGGCACTTTACACGAATTTCCCATTTGGCTCGGTCCTTTCGAAGATGGACGTTAAACTCGGAGGTCCCGCCTCTTAAACAAAGTAACAGCGTAGACTTGGGCATTAAACCGATACCATTTAAGACAACCAATTTTCTCCTCAACTATGGTCGGCCATCTTAAGACTATTTCTACTTCCTGTAGGTGGGATGTGGGGGGTTTGTTCCTCGAAAAACTTTCAGCTGGTGGAGATGTATGTGTGTTTGTTCCTCGATTTGTGTCGCAGATAGTGTGTGTATTTGAGTGTTTGTTCCTCGATTTGTGTCGCAGATAGTGTGTGTATTTGAGTGTTTGTTCCTCGATTTGTGTCGCAGATAGTGTGTGTATTTGAGTGTTTGTTCCTCGATTGTGTCGCAGATAGTATGTGTATTTGAGTGTTTGTTCCTCGATTGTGTCACAGATAGTATGTGTATTTGGGTTTGAGTGTTCTACCCAAAAAAACTGGCAGTTGGTATAGTATGTGTATCACTGGGTTCATCTATCCCAGAACTACTTGTAGCTGGTATATGTGTGTGTGTGTGTGTATGAGGCAGGGGGTTCTGCCAGTTTAGTATGAGTATGTGGGTGTGTGTGGGTAACAAGTACTTTGGGAGAAACCGGGTTTGTCCGGAAGTACTTGTAGCTGAAATGTCATGTATGTATGTATTTGTCTGGGGGGTACTCCCCAAGTGGGGTATGTGTGTGTCATGGCTCTCTATGTTCCTCCAGTTTTTTAAATTCTGAATTGAGATCCTTGGAATATAATGTATGAGTGAGTGTCTTTTTTAAAATTCTGAGTTGAGACCCATGGTATAGATGTATATATGAGTGAGTGTCTTTTTTTAAATTCTGAGGTTGAGATCCATTGTATATATATGAGTGAGTGCGTCCCCTCCCCCCTCACAGCCCCTCCCCCCTCCCTCCCCCACCCGCCCTCAGCTGGCAGGCAGCGATAGACGTGTACTACTACTCACTCTCTGCTACCAGCAAGCGCTGCTCCTGTCATGGCACTGCGCCTGCATCTCATTGTGTACTCATATTACCTGTACCACCTGGACACACTCTCAGCCCCTCCCCCCTCGCCCCTCCCCGCACTGAGTCATCGGAACACACCCTTGCTCTCTCTCTCTTTGTGTTGTAGCTTACTGGAAAAAGTGGGGTGGGGGATGGGGGTTTCGCAATCAGGAATTTGTTGACAGCCTTTGTCACATACATATCACTGGTTATAAG